TTTACTCTTTGCCTACTTACCTTGGAAGCCCATATATCGCAACCACTGAGTGGCCTATAAATACTCTGTTTGGATGATTTTACTTGGTAGTAACTCAATCTAAAATAAATAACTACTACATGGTGGTCTTATTTTCATCAGACTGTAATAGCAGAGATGCCAGTCACTGATTCACAACTCATTCTTCCTTCTTAAGATAGTGTTCAAACTTCAGCCTTTGAAAGAAAGCTCTTGAGTGTTCCATGCCACAACAAACCTATACTAGGTCGATCAGCCTCTTTAAAAAAAAAAAAAAAAAATGGAATGAGATCACAAAACTGAAAGAGCATGGGAAAAAAAAGGACTGACAGCATTAAGGCAAGGCAAGATGACATCAAAAAGGAAGAAAACTGAATAAGTAGACTGGCAAGACTGCAGAGAAATACCCAAGAGAAACAAACAGATATAGATGGAACTGTAATGGTTACYGTGTGGCCTGCATCATTTCATATTTGTGGTGTTGTATCCCTTCAATAAATCCCACTTTCACTTCAGCTGTTCTGTTTTTGTTTCCACAGTTAAATGAGAATTTGAGAAAGACTATCAATCTCATCAGTATTAGTCCTAAAAGAGCATCCATATTCTGGCAGAAATACCACACCAGCAATTTTGTTATCAAAGAAAAGATGTTGTCTCCTTGTTATAGAAGCTGTTGTCAAAAACAGGTGCCTAGAGTAAACAGGTAGGTGAGAGAAGGAGGCTGGCACCTTTAGGTTTTATTCTTCTTCTTTAAACATGTTTATTTTCATATTAACTGGATAAAATTTTTCCTTCTTCAAAAACACATTCATTTGCTCTCTCCCATTTTTCTTGGATTACCTTTTATTTTCTGCGTTCCACAAAGATGAGAGTATGTCTTAGTCCATTTCTCTTACTATATCACAATACCTGAGACTTAGTAATTTATAAAGAACAGAGATTTATTTAGCTCAAGGTTTGGAGACTGGGAGTCCAAAAGCATAGTGCCAGTATCTGGTAAGTGCCTTCCTGTTCTTTTATAACACAACAGCATCACATGGCAAGGCAGAATAAATATGCTGCATAAGCTTGGATTTATCTTTCTCTTCTTATAAAGCCACTAAAGCCATCATGGGTACCCCATCCTCACAACCTCATCTAATCCTCATTACCTCCCAAAGGCTCCACCCCTATTATATCATTAAATATGAATTTGGGGATTAAGTTTCCAAAACAAATCTGGAAGGACACATTCAAATCATAGCAGGACACATGAAAAGAAAGACTAGAGGTGATGGTACATATCAAGGGACATTCAGCCTTGCTGACTAAAAGGTTATAGAGAAGAGTGGTAATGGTAAAGTAGGAAGACATTTTCTACAAAAAAAAAAAAAAAAAAAAATCATTACTGAGTCTCCGGCAACTATCACCATTATATGGTCTAACCTGAAATTTACAAGAGAAGATAACAATCTAGATTTTTATGTAAAGTCTCCTAGTTGTAAAATGTTAATAAATTAATTTTCTTCTACAATAAAGTGGGTCAGTTCACTGGCTGTTGAATTACAATTCTATTGTAGACTTTAGCATCATTTAAAACTTCCTATATTTCTAGCTTCCCTAAATTATGTTTAACATCTATAATATGCAAAGCCTTCCACTATGTATTAGGCAAATCACTATCAAAGTTGAACCTCATGTATTTTTCTAGTCACATGATTTAAAATTGAATGTTGTTCCTCAGCAACAACTTGAAACAAGTCTTAATTAACATTAAATGCCAAATCACACTACCTACTCTAACAGGACAGCAACACAAACTCTTCATAGTTCACTACTTAGAGTAGGTTGAAAAACTACTTGCATATGCTGTCAGTTCCTTAAATATCACACTGTGCCCTTCTTCCACAATATACAACTTCCTTATCATCCTGAACTTAACCCTCAGAACTCACTGCACACTACTGAAATCATGTCTTTATTGTTTATCTCTCCAAGCAGACTATAAATACCTTAAGGATAAGGTCTAAATCCTTGGGACTGTATATCTGGAGCTAAATATAAAAAAAATGGACCATGTGGTAGAACACTGAAAGTATTGTTTAGTAGACCACCTTTTATCCAAGGAGGCTACCATGTACCAGGCACCTAACAGATGCTCATTCCTTTACTCAAATAATATTAGTGAAGTGGTGAATAACATAGATTCATCCTTCTCAATAAACATTTCAGTTAAAAGAAATAAATAAATGAGGGATTTGCTAGACATAAATAAATGTATATATGTCCTCTAGTTCATTAACATTAAAGATGTACAGCTTAATGCAATTAATTTAGTATTTTTATCCAACCAAATAAGGATAATATCAAATTTACTAGGTTGTTATGAAAAGTGAGTAAAAGGCAGTCATAATTCATAAAAATGCTTCCAAAAAAACATCTTTTAGGGAAACCAAAACTCTAAAAATACTTCCAAATGACAAATTTTTAAATGTTAGATGTGCGAAAGAGGAAACAGTTCAATAATTTCTGCKTAATTTATACAGTTTACAGTTATCCAAATAGTTGTTTAGCTTTATAAACCATAGGGTTTTGTTTTTAATCAGACTCTAAAAAAACCTGTCTATATATAAAGAAAAACACCATTGCAAATTCATGTTTGCTATGCAAGTATTTATCACGGCAAAACAAAAACTTGTAAATGCTAATATATTAGGAGATATATTTTGGCTCAGTGTTTGGAAAAGAAAAAAAGTGTGCAAATTTTCCAAATAACAGAACAATCTAACAACACAACTTCAAATGTAGAATAAAACTCCCCTCCTCAGAATTAAGGTTGCTAACCAACTGACTTGAAAATGAAGAGATTATGGTGGCTTATCCAGGTAGGCCCTGGAAGAAGGAAAGCAGGAGGGAGTGGCAAGAGAGATGTAATGTGAAAAATAATGGACCAGCCATTTGTGATTTTGAAGATGGAGGAGAGCCATGAGTCAAAGAATCTGAGAGGTCTTAAGAAGCTGAAAAAATTAAGGAAACAATTCTCTCCCAGAGCCTCCAGAAAAGAATAAAGACTCTGCCTGATGTTAGCTTACTGAGATCCATTTTGCATTCTGACCTCCCAAACTATAAGATAATGATTTGTCTGTGGCAGCAGCAACAACAGGAAATTAATTCAGTTTGCCTTGGAATGTAGTACTCTTTCCCTTACAGATGATGTTAGACAACTCTGGTGTTGTTCATGGTGCACCTCTGTTGGATGGAGGTAGGGGTAGGGGTAGGAGAGTGGTGAGTAGGTAAAACAGTGAAGATACATCAAATAAACACTGCCTAAGTGAAATTGTGAAAGCAGAAGGAATTAAATTGGTTCTAAGAAAAACGTCTAAAACTGCATGCACATTCGCGTAAGTTCTTTTCTTTGTAGTCTGGAGCATTCAAAGATTTTAAAAAGGATTTTTTATAAGCAAGAGTAAGCACCTTTCTAGATTATTTCCAACACGTGGCTTTTAACATTCCATGATTTTCTAAGGCAGTAAGTCTCAATCTGTAGACCATCTAACCCCCAAACAAAGCATTAAAACTCACTTAAGGTTGTTAGTAAAATGCAGAGTCCCAAACTCCACCTGAAACAGAATCTCTGAGAGCTRTAGGAAAGCTCAATTCTTTCAACAAACTGAGAGATGGGGGACAGAATAATATACACAATAAAAGAACCACTGCTCTAAGGAATGTTGTACAAAACATTAGAGATTGAAATAAATTGTTTCCATCACCCAATCTTTAAGAACCTCAGTCATTTTGCTGATTATTGTAAGTCGTTATTTTTTCTGAACCTCAGGCAGCCGAGGTAGACAATTCCACCTAATTTTTTAGATGAAAATTCATTCTGTGGAGTGCCAAGAATGATGACTAGTAGGTAAATACTATCAAACTAAAAAAACGTTAAGTTTTATCTTCCAATACTTCACTCCAAACCCCTATTCCAGACTCCTGGTTTAAGAAACAATAATGCCTGGCATGCATTTTACATACTGTCCTGCTAAATACTGGAAGATTATGTTTTTGTGCCAATATCATTACTAGTCAATTTTCTATAATCCACTTAGTTTCCCGTCCTAAATTTTCATTTTTCAAGCGAATGTTTTATTTGAAACATTCTCCTAATCATCCGAAGTTAAATCTTATAAATTACGTATCTTCAGGTGGGGCTATAAGACAGGCAGCCAAGACCTCAAATCTCCTAAAAGGGATAGGCCCTGAGAATGAATAAGAACAGCTAGCAGAGGCCTTAAAATCTAAGCAACCTTACGCAGTTTTTCTCGGTCAGAGATTCTTGACAACAGTAAAGGAATCTGAGCTGTGAATAGGAAGGGGTCCTAGAGAAGATCGTTTAAAGCAAACCTCTCTCGGTGCCTCACAAACAAACCACATTCCGAAGCAAGGTCATAGAGAAGCCATACCAGCCCGGGTGCGGGAGTCCAGCTCTCTCAGCTCCCAAGACATCCCTTTGCGGCACGCATTAGACCCAGCCAGCAGACCCCTCTCAGAAGGGGATCAGGCACCTTCATACCCAGACCGAGGCCTTGAAGCAAGAATGCGTTCAGGCCCATTGCTCAGCTCCAGAGAAAATGAGCGAGCCTCGGCCACTCACCCCGCAGCCAGTGAGTGCTGTGAAACCATCTCCAGCTAGCTCCACGGCCGACAGACCACCCGGCAGCGGCCCTGGCCACCCCCATGCTTCGACGGCCGCCGAGGCCAAGGAGGTAACGAAGAAGCGGAGGGTCACWGCCCAGCTTCCAGGAGGCCGCCATCTTCCCGGCTTTCCCCCCGGCTGCCCGCACCACAGCCTGATCGCCAGCCTCAGGGCCCTCCCAGGCCCCGCCTTCTCCCGTTGGTCACGCCCCCTCGACGCCCGCCTAGCGAGTCGATCTCGCTGGCTAGCCCTCTTAGCCCCGCCTCCAGCCTCGTTGGCCACGCCTCCCAGCCGGGCAGCAACACTAAAGCCTCTCCCAACCAGCGAGGCCCTTCCAGATCCCGYCTCCCTACTTGTACGCTCCGCCCCCGAGATGCCCCTGTCGCCGCCTGATTGCACTGTGGCCTGGCCGCGGTAGAGCGGGCGGAGCGCTGGGTGCAGAACCGTGTGGAGGCTGGAAATCGTGGATGCCCCTCGTCCGGACCATGTCTGGCTGCCACGGTCCGGAGGGAGACTGCTGCTCACGGCAATGCGTCGCGCAGGTAGGGGCGGGGCCGCCRGCGCCGCTCTTCCGAGGCTGCAGGGCGCTGGCGCGGGGTCGCGAGCCGCAGGGTCGTGGGCGGGGCTTCCGCGGGTGCGAGCGCGGCCCCGCGTCCCGGCTGCGCACTTCACTGCGGGAGCTGGGCCCCAGACTGAAAAAGGAAGAATGAGTGAGGAGTGCATTTGGGCCGCTATCGCGTGCCTGTCGGGATGACAGACCGAAGGAGTCTTGAGGCCCTGGAGTGGAACTGGAGCGAAAGCGGAGCTCCTCGAGCTTCTTTTCTGCGCCTGGCGACCAGCTCCACGCTGCTGAACTGCARCTGGGCCTGCACCCTTTAGTAGAGTTGCTCCTTGCCTGACTGTTTAGATGAATAACGGGGTGATTCTGCCTAAGGATTCTTCCTTGAGCAGAATTCAGGCTGCAGGTTTATCATTCACTTATACACAACCAACAATCTTACTGGAAGTCTTAATGAACGCCTCTGAGTGTCCAGAGAGTGGTGAATATGACAGATGGCCCGGAGTCCAGAGGAGAACTAGGTCAATTAACAAATTCAGCACAATGCATAAGAGGCAGGAAAAGCCCCCTAAGCTTAGTTCTCTGATCAAAGGGCTGAAGGTCTCACTGGGAAGATTTTATTGCTAAGCATTTGTAAACCGTTATGTTGTTTTGAGTAAGTGACTTCTCCCAAATTAGCAAACACGACAGGTTAGAATGCTGGATAGACATGATTGTATGAGGAAGATGATGATCTTGGATACAGGACAGATCACTGGAGATCATTTTGAGACAGATGGGTTTGGAGAATAAGGAAAGTGAAAGCAGTCCATTAGAAGAAACATTGCTAAGACATTTTGGCACATGTGCACATGCCCCCAGTAATTAGATCTTTGGCAGTCTCTAAGAGAGCAGGATGTCTAAGCTTCAAAGAGCCTAAAACAAGAAAACTAAGAATAAACTAAGATTCTCAAACCAAAAATGGCCACAGGACAACATGTAGAACAGGCATCTTTTATTTGCTTCACTCTGTGGTCATGAAAAATGTAAGCTACTTTTTCAGAGTCCAGAACAATCTTGGCTTCTATTGAAATTTAAGAGCATTTGGTATGACTGGACCCTTATTTCTTCATGGGGTCTGGATTGAACTGACAAATAGCTACTAATTTAACCCAAGGCATGTGCTTCCACTCCTCAAACTAGATTTGCATGTACATTTAAATACATTAACCCCACTAAACATTTTTGTTTGTCTTGTGTTACAAAAATAAATGAGAACAGCAATAAGAAAAGTTTTGAGGCATAAAATTTCAATGCAGTTTTAGAGGGTGCAACTGAAAGAGTTTATCCTTAAGGAAGAGGAGTGTTCAATTGTGATTGTTTCAGCAAATATTGAATGAGGGCCTACTGTGTGCCAGACACTGTAAATTTAACATAATGCAAGTTACATCTAATTCCTTCCCCCATAGAGAGTGCCATGTAGTGGGAGAAACAGTAAAGAGACAGTATGACAATATAATAGCACCACTATGGGAAAGTTCAGGGTGCAGTAGGGTTTGAAAATGCCTCTGGAGGAAATAAAGGTATCAACTAAAGCTTAAAGGATCAGGAAAACCACAGTAAGAAATGAAGCTGGGTTTTCTAATTTCAGGCTTACACTGGAGATATTTCAGGTTACATCACAATAAAGTCACACAAAAGCTGTAGTTTCCTAGTGCATATAAAGTTATGTTTACACTATAGTCTATTAAGTGTACAATAGCATTATGTCTAGAAAATAAACATAATTTTAAAATATTTATTGCTAAAAATGGTTATGATGATCTGAACTATTGGAAATAATGATACTACTGATAGGTTTACAAAGCTCAGGGTTGCCACAAACCCTCAATTCATAAAAAATGCAGTATCCAAAGTACAATGACATAAAGCACAGTAAAGGTAAGCCTGTAGAAAGAGTAGCATGCACAGAGTCTTAGAAAAAAGGGCATTGTCTGTTCTCATATCAAAAGAATCTTGGTGTTATGGGAACAAAGTAGGGGACAGGGACTTGGGAAAATGATAAAGCTAAAAAGATGAATGCTAGGACCCAAACTAGAGGGCTCTTTAAGCCATTTTAGGAATACAGATTTTTATTTTAAGGTCAATGAGATAATAAGAAAGATGGCTGAAGAAAGTGTATGGGGTGACGGGCTGTGGTTGTAGCTCAGTGGTTGAGCGCTTGCCTCGMGTGGGTAAGGCACTGGGTTTGATCCTCAGCACCATATAAAAAAAATAAATAAATAAAACAAAGATATTTTAAAAAAAGAAAGAAAATGTATGGGGTGCTGACTGGATTGGAATCTGGAGGCTTAGATACAAACCAGGAAGCTGTAGCAGTAACCAGGCAAGAAATGCCAGTGCYCTCAGTGAGGGATTTAGGTGGTAAAGTCTAGAGGACGTGATGTTGATTCGATGGGGATGGTGAAAAAAGGAGCCAGGAATGACTTAGGTTTCTGATGGAGTAATTAGGACCTGGTGGACTCTCAGAAAGAGCACTGGAGRAAGAAACAGTTGATGATAAGCCTGTCATAGACATAACAAATTTGAGGTCCCTGGTTGGAGTGAGATATTAAAAGCTTCATATTTGTGGCTCTCAAGCTCAAGAAAGAGAGCTGGATTGGAGATGAAGTTTTGGAAAACTTGGTCACCAAAGCCTTCCCTCTTGTATTTATTGTTCTTTATTTGATGGACACCCTCTCCCTAAACCCCTATTACATTAATTGCCTTCCTCTATGGGCTTTTCAATAATATTATTTTATCATGCTTGCCTGTAACTTTTAAGTGATTTGTTTCATGGACTTTCTTCTAGTATTGCAAAGATTTCTCAGGCACTGATGTATTATTTTCGGGATAGATTCAGCTTATACCAGTAATGTCTAGGCTGATTTTACAGTCCAAAAATTCAATCCCAAATGACCTCTGATACTTGGACTAAATTTTYCTAGTATCAAAAGGTCAAGGGGGTTGGGCTGGGGTTGGAACTCAGTGGTAGAGTGTTTGTTTGCCTGAGTTAGATCCTCAGCACCACATAAAAATAAATTTTAAAAAATGCTGTGTCCATCTACGGCTAAAAAATAAAAATTWAAAAAAGTCAAGGGGTATTTCCCTAAGAGAGAAAGTGTTTACTTAGAAACTGTGTATTAACAAAGTCCAGATTCTAAAAGTACTAACATGAATAAGTCACTGTTCTCTGTTCTTGGGAAACTAAGGCAGTTATAAATGCATACCAGTAACTAATATACTATATAACAGAATTGGGCAGTGGAAGGAAGAGGAGAAGACTAAATTCTTAAGGAATTTTTGCAAATGCAGAAAGAGGAAAGATAATTGGAAACAGCAATTCAAGGAGGACTTTATGGAGAATTTTGGATGTGCTCATAGTTCTAGAGGGAYACCAAAAAGAAGTTCCTTAGGGTGACCATATGCCCTATTTTAAGAGTTTACAATATATAACTCTGACTTTTTTTGCTGGGGGAAAATTTTTTTTTTTTTTTTTTAGGGGAACCAGAAACTGGGATTTTGTATAGAAATCAATAATTTTCAAAATTTTAAAATACGTATTGTACAGACCAAATTAATTACTTCCTGGAAGTCTGATGCAATCYGCAAGTTATCAATTTGTGACTTCTATAATATATTCTTGAATGTAAGATATATGATCTTAATTCATCCAGTATTTATTAAGCCAAGCACTGCGGTAGGAGTAACTTAGAAAGAGCATGTTGCCTACCCTTTAGTGAGCTGCGCAGAGTTGGCGAGAAAAAACAGGTAGGCACTGTTTTTACTCTTTTTGGAGGGGGAGTTACCAGGGATTGAACTCAGGGGCACTTGACCACTGAGCCACATCCCCAGCCCTATTTTGTATTTTATTTAGAGACAGGGTCTCACTGAGTTGCTTAGCAGCCTCACTTTTGCTGACACTGGCTTTGAACTCACGATCCTCCTGTCTCAGCCTCCCCAGCTGCTGGGATTGCAGTCGTGCGTCACCCTGGTTTGTTTTTGCTTTTTTTGTTGTTGTTTGTTTATGTGTCATAGTGTTTCTGAACAAATATTTGTTTTCTTTGATATTTCTACAAAACAAGGCTATCCAACTCCCTGCCCTTTGTTTTCCTGGACCTCAACAGTTCCGTGGAAGCAACCCAGTCTCATGATCATAAACTCCCTGCCCAACCACTACCCCTTCACCTCACAGATTTTGTAGGTGAAGGAATTTTTCGTTCTGTGGTCCCTTCTGTGTGCCCTCTATCAGAGGATCCTTCACACACTATCATAAATAGGTACCTTTATGGAAGCCCCCCCCCCTCCACCAGGTCTGCTGAGAATGTTCCCAGGGAAGGGAAGGAATCACTCACTGTWCGAGTTGATGTCTCTACAAATATCATGGGGTCTTACCACAGCTAGCCCACCTTCTTTGTTCCTTCACTAGCCCCTGAACGTTCCTGAGGAATATTCCTCAACTGTGCTGTGTGGGCTCACTTCAGACTCATGGTTTCAACCTCATACTCCAGCAGTGCTCCTGTGTCCTACAGTAGTGCTCACTCCCAAGTACCCTCTCCCCAGAGGACTGTTTTCTGCCTTCATTCTCTTGTTATGCCTCTCAGACCATCCCCACACTCTCAGCTGATGACTCCATTGATACTTAAGAAAACAGAAGTCACTAGATGTGAACTTCCTCACCTTCCCACCATAAAACCTACAGATATGCCTAAAAATGAACCCAGCTTCCTTTCATTTCGTAAAATGGAAGCAGCCCAGTTCTTCCACCAGTCTCAGGTCTCCAGGCCTTTCACCTTCTGAAGTTATTTCTCTCCCTCTCCCTGTCTTACCAYCAATCATTTCCTCCCTGGGAGGACTGTGCTCATCAGCAGGGMTTTCAGATCCCTACATGATCCGGTCCCTGCGGTCATTTTCCACCACTCTCAGCACTTCATCACCCTGCCCTAGCCAGCTGGTCTTCCTCGT